ATTTTACAACAAATCTGAGGTACTGTACAATTGAAACAGTTTGTCCACTTTTGATCCTCCTTTTCATTTATAGTCAGTCACCTGGCACTTGGCAGAGCACTGTATCTAAGGAAAGCATTCCACCTTGGGTGGAAAGCTTTTTTATAAGTGAACTTCCATTTCTAGAATTCCACCCTATGTGATTCTGAAAAATCTCTCAATTTATCAATGTATTTATATTTACGTTAATTTAACGTAAATATTGGCATTTGGCGTACAGCGATGGCAGTGGTACCATTGGAAAGAGCAGAATTCCAGCTTTCAGATGAGTACAAAAACCGAAAAACGCCAAAATTGAAAATTTTAGGGAGGTCAGTCCCCTTAATGTGTCGGAATATACCGCGTTTACCCTACTAAGTTCCTAGTCTACTAAATTGTTTATAGTAATAGTAAGTAGGAGTATAGGACTCAAAAATGTACTTGAGGAAGGGCAACAAAAATTGTCAATAAATGTTCTCTTTTGCCACTACCTATTCCTATTTACCTACAGTAGTAACAGTACCTAGTGGCTATTGCCTAGTCCTAATGTAGGTACATCAATTCAAGATTTAACATCTATAAAAGTGCACTACAGGGCACAGGCTGATTATAATATATAGCAAAATAATCTTTTATACTATTATATAATAATATTTCTCTTATTCTCACTTGCCTAACTTAACGGTTGCCCCTTGCCAGTTGGGCAGCCCGGCAGTTTCTAAGCTCCACTTCAACAAGAAAGAATACAAATACATTTGTAATTAAATAACGAATCACTTTGAAGGTTATAGATCCAAATTTCGAAAATAATGGGGCTCAGGAGCAAGGCCCAAAACTAACCTTGCCCAAACGCGACAAAAGCCATTCAATGTCGGAGAGACTGAGATGTATAATGTAGAAAATTCGGTAATGGATCAGCTGCTTGTGTAAACATTAAGATCCTGATAACGGTTCTACTTCAATAATGATACTAAGTAAGAGATGCGATAATTGGAAGATGAAAGTTTAACACTGGCTGGTGTTTCAAGTTCCGATACGAAGAAACAATAAAAACAATCGCAAAATTGAAGTTTATGATTTCAGCTTAACATTATAACTGATTTTGCATAGAAAAAAATACGATTAATCAATAAATTTTATTATTTGAATGCAATTGAAATGCAGTAGAAATTCAGTTTATATGAATATATATGTTTGAAACAGAGCAGTTATTAGTAGTAGTTATTAGGAAATTTCAGAAAACATTATCAAGTCGATACGGACCGGCAGAAAAACAGTCCGGACTCCGGAGTCCGAACACATGATTAGAGCCTTAGAGGAGTACAAGCTTCGGTCGACTACGGACGTGTGTGTATGAACATTGAACAATCGACTAACTTTTTCGTTTTTGCTACTTTGCTAGAATCACATAGTAAGTATTTTGATATAAATTTCGGTCATTAGGATTCCATCTGTTATAGTATCATTTGCTGCAATATATTGAAATTCCCCCCTTCCCTTTTTTTTCTCGTTAATTTGTAGTGGCCCATGGCCATCAGGCCATAAGAAAAGTGAACATGTTGCATTGTTTTTTGTTGCATTGAGATTTAATTTCTTTTGATAGTATTTTTGAATACTATGCGTCTCTATACATAATTTAAATCACTTTTCCTGTTAAGTTTGTGTACTTACATACATTAAAATACAATTTTTCAAGTATGAATATTCATTTCCCCCCACTGTATATCTTAGCTAGTGGTCGAAATAACTAACTATAATTAAAATTTTGGGAAACTAACACCTACATATATTGGAAACTAACATACATTATAGGCATATACATTATAGTTATGTATAGGTTGTTACTGCTTGTTGTAAAGATTGCTACTGTTTACCTTAAATTAATTTAAACCCTTGATTCTTCAGAAACGAGCCCACAGGAGTTTTGTTTTTGTTTTTGTAAAGTATAAACTCACACTTTGCTAGACCAACTTGGTCAAAATAAGCTCCAGGCTGTGCTGCCCAGGCTGGACCTTCCGTCGAGTCCACAATCTCATGTGAGGCACTGTGCAGGGCATGTTAGTAGTCATTAACCTGGGATGAAATATGTATATATCACTCAAATAAATCTTGCAATATTTATCATTGATATTACAATCAAACAGCTCCAGTCTCTTAACATGGCTGCTCTCTGCAATGTCTTATCTCTGTCTTTTTGCTCACAGTTGCGCAAATCCTGAGCAATATTCTGTCAGCCTTGGACGAGTCGCCAGAGCTCCCACAGCTCTAAAAGAAGAAGAAGAGTCAGCTGTGAGTCTCATTTGCATAGAGGAGACACTCCTGAGGTGAGTATACATTGCATTTGTTTGTAGCAAGTTGGAGTATGGCTTCAGTGTCCTTGGAGAGCTCCCATCTACATGTATGAAGCTCCTTAATGGAATACAAAACAGTGCACTGCGCCTAATCCTCGGCGCCCATTGCACCTCTCCAATTATGTCACTGGTGACAGAATGTTTTTTACCTTCTCTTTGTCTTTGCTTTCCCTTTCTAGTCATGAGATGGACCCTATGATATTTATACTTGCCTGAGCAGAGCTTATTGACTTGTCTGCTGGGGCTTTCCCAGGGTGGTGCTCCTATCAATCAACTGCCATTTGCAGCACAGGCGCAATCTTTGTTTAATGATCATGGAATCTCGCTTCCACAAAGAGTGGGCACCCCTGCCTTCTCTCCCATCCCACCAAGCATCTTCCTGTTTGGGAACATTTGTCTGGACCCAGGAGCAGGGCTCTCTGTTTCTCTTCATCCTGGCTCTTCCTCTGCTCTACTAGCTCATAGACTAGAATTTACTTACCCTGATCATTTTCAGATCTACACAGACGGTTCACGCTCAGCTGAGGGCTCAGTTTCAGCTGGTGTATATGTTCCCTCACTGGCAACGGGGTGGCTACTGTCACCAACCCACACCATAATCGGTGCAGAGTTGTTTGCCATCTACAAGGCACTGGAATTAGTCCTAAGTTGTGGAGATCTTCAGAGCTGCCCAGTGGTTATATTTACAGACTCAAAATCCTCCTTGTACCTTATCAGGAACACTCGGCACCCTACTTATGCTTCAATAGTCTTTAGAATTCACATGCTGCTTTTACAGAAAGGTCTAACTTCAGTGCCCCTCTGCTGGGTTAAGAGCCACAGTGGAGTGAGAGGCAATGAGATTGCTGACCCGGGTTGCTAACCTTTCTCATAGCGCTGACAGATCTTCTCGTTCTATCATGTGCTTTGAGGAGTTAATGTGCCAATTGAAACAATCATTCCTCGCCCAATGGAGGGAACACTGGAGCAGACGGGTTGCAGAGACTTGCAGTGGCCATTTTCGACTAATTCTTGAAAACCCTGTTGAACACATTGACTACAGCTGCCTCAGTCAGAGAATGCAGTGTGCAGTGGCCTGTTTGCGCCTTGGCCACGCGGGCGTTGGTGCACACCGGGCGCGCTTTGGGATGGCACAGGACTCAATCTGCTCTGTTTGTCACCAGGAGGACACCATCACCTAGAGCAGCCTTTACCACTGCATTGGCCAGCAGTGGAGTCCCTTGGAACCTGAACACAGCCTTAGGAGCTGAGATTCCTGCAGTACAATGCCCTTATCTATCTATCACAATTTTTATCGCAGACTGGCATGGTGAATCTACTATGACGGAGAGCGATTTATGCATGTAAATATATAAAAACCTGTAACTTGCCAGAATATCTACCTTGCAACAGGATCATCTCCGGGCACAAGCAGCTTTTGGCTGTGAGGCTCACAGCAAGAGTGGACTGCATTGGTCCATAGTGTGTTGGAGGCAGCATCCTAGTCTAGCAGAGCTTTGAGTCTGCTGCTTTGCTTTCTCTTTCTGACAGAGAACAGGCTGGTGGGCGCATTTGTTGCCACAAGTCTTAACCCCAACTATAAAAAAAAATAGAGGAGACACTTACTCTCCTGAGGGGGAAACTACACAAGTGCTGGACTAGGTACTGAAAAACGACTGTTGCTATGACTCAGAAAGGAGCTTTTTTGAGTAACATTATGGTGGAACCACGACTTTGCCCTTGGCTTTGCCTGAAGTCCCACAAGCTAGAATGTGCATCTGCAAGAATTAGAATTGGGCATGCAGATGTCAGGAGCTATCTGCACAGGTTTAAAATGAGTGATTCTGATCAGTGCACCACCTGCAACACAACAGACACAGTTGTTCACTTTCTTCTGGACTGTCAGCGTCATGTGCAACCAAGACAGAAGCTACTCGGTAACTTGAGAAGCATCAATGTAGAACTTAACCTTTGTAATCTCCTGGGGGGAGGTGACTTTAGTGAAAAGGTATCACAGAAAATCTCTCAATTTATCAATGTATTTATTTTAAAGTCAGGTAGGCTAAGTGATCTTTAGATTAGCACCTTGCAATGCTGTATATATGCAAGCATGATAGAATTGTTAATGCATGGCAACTGCTGATATATGTTTCGATTTAGCAAGTAGATCATCTAGGTTTTTTTCAATATTATTATAATTATGCATATATTTCTATTTTTTTTTTTTGTTTAATGAAGGTTGTTATATTAGCAGCCCTTATTTATCTAAATTACATTAGCAGTAACTCATTTCATTTACTAATATATGTTCCCTGTAAACTTCTACCCAATACTGTACTGAGCTTACATCAGCCAACCTCACAAGATGGCAGCAATTAATTTCATATACAAAGAAGCTGAAAACCACAAGCTATAAGCTCTCATGCCCGATGGTCATCCATCTGGCAGACCTGCGGCTTTAAGTCCACTCCAAGTGGACACCCTGCAAAGAAAAAGAAGAAGAAGAAGAAGAGTCTCGTTCAAACCTTGAAAGAGTGTGGTCGAGACTTAAACGCTTGACATGTGATGGTGTGACCAGGTTGTGGGAATACTTGACTGGATTTATTGGAAGGTCTCGTGAGATCAACCAAGCTAGTAGTCCAAATCAGCCGGCTCTTCTACTTCCCAGCATTACGAAACTACTTCATAATATATATATGTATAATATATATCTTGTCAGTAATGTCTTAACTTTCTTTTTGTAAATTTTGTTTCCTATTATGAAACTGAGGGGCTTGGCCCCATGTCAGCTTTGCCTGGCACAATGGGCAAACACAGAAAGAGAAAACAAAGCAAGTTGCCTCATCACCCTGGTAAGACGTAAGAGATGCCCTTCCAACCTTATTGATCAACAACCACCTTCACTCAACTCAGTCCTAATAGTCTAAGTCAGCCACATGAGTGTGAGCCACCTCTTCCAAAACTGCCTTTAATGAGCCAAAGCTCCCTCAAACTTCAACATAGTTCATCCATGCTTCCAAGTCCAAGCAGTGATAGCCAACCTGCCAGCTTAATTACTAATAGCCCTTTAAAGTCTGTTCCTAATGTACCTCAGGCTCAAGCCACAAACCATACTAATCATCCTACTTTTGAAGGATTTGAGAGTTCATTCCCATACAGTAACAAATCTGATGCAGACTCAGTTACCACTGCTGGACAAAAAACTGATGCAGATAAAGCTGAACAATTTCAACACCCTGCATCAGTTCAGAATCTTGTAATTTTGGTTGAACCTGTTGAAAAAGCTTGACAGTGGAGATAATCAAGCAACTCAGCCTGATGTGACACAATTCCTCTCAAATGACCTGGCTCTAAGTAAAGCTCTGGCTAACTTCCTCTTTGGAAAGACTGAAATTACTAGCATGTCCAAAAATACTGCCCAAAATTTATTGGTTCTTACAATGAAAAACACTGAAAATGTCTCATCCCACTTAGAAACAGAAAGTTTGGGGACATGGAAGATGGTAGGACATGGTAGACTCCCCGCAAATCACTCTACTTCAGTAGGAGTCATTGGCCCCTTAGGCAAGGGAGTCACTAATGAGGAGCTAATTCAAGCCCTGATCTATGAAAGACATCAAGGAGCCACTGCAGAAAGAATTTTCAAAGGACGGGAATGCATTATGACCTCCATGTTCAAAGTTACTTTTTCTTGCAGCACCTTGCCTCCATACGTAAATATTGGCTACCAGCTCTTTGAAGTCCATACATTTGTTGGCAAGCCCTGGCAATGTTTTAGGTGCCAGAGATTTGGCCGCAGTGCTCTGACGTGCAACAGCCCTCCTCGTTGTGAAGCATGTGGTGGTGCCCATGGAGTCAAGAACTCCAAAGCTGAGGCTCTTGCATCCTAGTGATCCTACTATGAAGATGTTCTAAATTCTCCTGCACCTTCACCTTACCCATCACACATTATTCTCCCACTGGCCATTGCACTAAGTGATGACAGCCCTTCAGTCCTGAACAGTCCCATCTGTCCATATAAATTGAACAGATCCCCTGAGACACTAAAGAAAACAGCCCCTGGATTGGACCAGGTCCACAATGAGCACCCCACACTCAAGCCCATGCTGTTGCCGGCGCATTTGCTGGTGAGGTCAACTCTAGGTGACCTTCTTCTGTCTCTCAGGCAACTAAATTTAGTAAACTATTAGCGCAGAGGCCATGAATAAATAACACAGACAGATAGATGTATGTTGGTGATCAGATTTACAAATTTAATAAAACCTGTGAGGAGAAGGAGGAACACCAACTTTTATCAATTGCAATGCTTTCTTAAATGATTCCTCATAATATATCCTAAATGGCACAGAATCTAATTTACATTCAAAGCCATGCATATTTTCTGAAAAAAGAATAAAAATATATTCTAAACATTTATTGGCTGGCCGCAGTTATATATTACATTATATATTACATACCGGTATATATTACATTTGGTAAAAAATGTATAGCCATTGATATAATCATTATACAAGATACCAAAATGAGTGAAACAAATCTGATTCCAAAATTCTTTTCATATCTCAAAATATTGAAGTTTGCTTGCACTCAGGTTTTTTTTTCTTCACAGTACTGTGACATTCAGATTGTGTTGGTCAAGGACATAAAATTATTGAAACAAAACAGTTTTCAATCGATAGATAAGAAAAAAACTACATTGGATACCATTTTGTTCCAATCACATAACTCAAGTACAACAGAAACAGATGGCTGCAAAACAAAATCACAAATATTGGCCGAAGTCACCCCGGCGGCCCAAATCACCCCAGTTGATGGTACTATAGTTCTCTCTACTAATTGACAGTCAAGATTCCCATTGTGTTATTAAACTTCTCTATTAGTCCAAGTTGGTCTTGGGAGGTTGAAAGCTGACTCCCATTTAATCACACAGTGTCAACAGAAGTGACCTAAAAGGAAGAGCTCACCCAAGATTTTCACCTAGCTGGATATTAGGGTGCCATAGCAGGTAGAATTTACAAAAGCAAAGATGAAGTATAGACAGCTATGTTTAAGGGAATTTTTGCATCACAGCCTCTACCTTCTGCCTCCTACCTGTATCATGGCCACCAATGCTTTAATGGGGAAGCATTTAAAGCCTTGGTAGTGCTTTAAAAGTCAAGGATTCAATCATAATGCCAGAGATTGCAGAGGCATCTCCCATTGTGTAGGTTTTAGGGGACCTCACATGCTCAAAATGTTGAAGACTGCCCTTCACCTGGGAGTCTAGCCCTAAAATGCTGTAACTGTGGTGGCTCACATACTAATAACTATCGGCAGAGCTGGGCAGCGCTGCTTGGAAATGTAGCAGCGCTACCGCTACATGCTCTAAATGTAGCGGGCGCTACCGCTACACCCACTAGATTGTAACGGGCGCTACCGCTACTGCTACAGTAAAATGTAGCGCGCTACATTAGCCGCTACAATGGCCAAAATTATTGGAAATCTCTAAATATTTATTTTTCTGCTATTGGGATTTACTCATTAACATTTAATGATAATAAAACAATTTTAAAACATATCAATGCAACTTTATTGCAATTAACTTAACCAAACTAGTATGGGTTACCCCAGGGTTAGATACAGTAAATAAAAGTTACAGGTATTTTTATGTTTTAACTTCCCTACATGGATGTGAACTCTTTAATCTACCGATCTAAGAAATTATACACATATACATATAAAAATCAGTTTTTTGTATATATATGTGGATTATTTTTGAGACATCTGTAAAGGGAAGGTGAAACATAAAAATAACTGTGTAAAAATAACTGTAAGCAAACTGAAACTTGAAAAAATACCTGTAAGTGGTAACTGGTAACAACTTAACAAGTAACAACTAACATGTTGACACTAGTAACAGGCTGAGGTTGACAACATTACACCAAAATCTTTCATACAGTTGTAGTCTGTAATTTATATTATGTACCTATGTATCATGCTGGTTTTTAAATAATATTTAATACTATTAAGGGGACCGGCTACCCTAAAAATTGGAAATTTTGTCTTTACCGTTTTCTTGACTCATTTTGTAGCTGCTGAAAAGGCGCGTCCAACGCAGTTTACCGCATGTCTGTGCATGCTATAATTTTTGCGTAAGATAATTTTAAATATATATATATGAACATTTTTTAGCAATATGTACCAAGATTTATTTTAATTAAATCTGTATATATAGATCATTACTCTCGTACAAAGTGTTTGCACTCGTTTGAAAGCTACAAACAAGACGCGTTCAATAAAGCTAGGGTAAATGCGGTATATTCCAACATCGTGGGTAATTCCGTCACCTCTCTAGTTTTTCCTTTATATTAAGCTTTGATTTAGTTCCATGTGTTCGTTGATGGTTGAAATGGTGATGTCATACATTTGTGCTTCAAACTACTGCCAAAACACTAGGTCTTGGCCATCTAGTGGGAAAATATTGAGATATAAAGAGAGACAATGCACGCTACCCAGTGAGATCATTGAAAAAATGTGTCAAATTTGACAGTTGACCTTGCTCTACCAAATAGTGAATAACTGTTTGTATAGGAAAAATATTATGGTTTGAGACATTTAAATACGTCTGTGAATATATTAGGAATCCTTTAAGTATATTTGTATTCACTGATTTCAATTGGTAAATGAATTAATAGATGATTAAGTTGAGAAATGGATTTAGACACATGAAAACTAATTCTGTCACAACTTGAATTGGACACACACAGATCGTTCCAAGCTGTGTACAAAAATTACTACATGTAGCGCGCTACTGCCCACCTCTGACTATCGGGTTGCCCTCAAATTAGATTTGAAGTAGTACCGTCAAACGGGGTGATAAGGGATGGGCACGATAAATTGGGACAGGTGTCCCACATTTTGTAGAAGTGTAGCAGCTGAACTAATCAAAATATTGCAAAACTAAAAATAGTGATGTTGAGTTCAACATTTTTACTATTTATATAGCACAAAGTTAGTAAAGAAATCATACATTTACTAACTCTAAAAAATCCCTGAAAAGTGGAAAAGCACCTCTGCTAAGGTCCAAGCAAAAAAAAAATATTTGTCATATTAAAAAATTTTAGTTACATAAAAGTTGCACACATGTGTAGGCTTGAAAATGTGATTGACAAAATTTACATGTCACATTCACCCCAAGAAATGGCAGCCATTTCCGCAGGACGAGGTAATTAGGGACATCCCCTGGGGTAATAAAGGACACCCCTAAAAACGCATCTACAGCAGAACCTTGATAAGCAAAGGCTTTAGTTGACAAAAAAAATCAGAAACAACAAAAAATTTTGATAACATTTACCTTGCTCAGAAAAAAAAATTCACTTAATGAAAAATTAATGCATCATTAGTCATAACAAAATTGTGCATAGAATGTCATGGATAGAATTGTGCACTGGGCAACATAGAATGAAAAGTAATTAACCTAATTTATGATTTATTTCTCCAAAAATTATAATGGTTGTCACTAAAATATTCCTTTCTATTTCAGGTATATTTTTACAATTTTTTTGTTACAGTGTATTCACTTGACTCCATTAAAATGATGAGAAATTACAAGCTGTCTTGTAAGCCCACAGATACAGAGAAAATGCTATATGGCTGCTGAAATGAAACTTGCAGTGGACAAGGTCATTGTAAATGCTCAATGGATACAGTAATATCACATCAATAATCCAGTAATGTATGGATATGGTAATATCATATCAAGAAAGGAAAAACAAGTAATAAATAGAAATGTCATTTATTCTACATCTATACCATCTACAAAGGAAGAGAAGGACTTCAGCGTACTGTTAGTAATGGATAAGTACATTCTGCATGATCCAAACATTTTGTAAATTAAGTTTTATTTCAAGTGTCCCTTATTACCCCATCCCCAGAGGTAATTCAGGAGGCTTTTACTTTGTGTCTGGAACCTTACCAATAGCATATGGAATTTTTTCAGAGATACCATGCAATAGCCCTTGCAAAGACCTTTGAAATAAGCGGTAACTTGTTTATGAAATATTTCATGGTGAGAAGTTATTAACAAAAAACGCTCCAAAACGTCCCTTATTACCCTGTTTGAAGGTAGTTCCTTAGTCTTTTAGCAGGACTAAATATGCTCTAAAAATGAACAAGAATCGGCTAAATTTCTGTGCAGGACCTGCAAAAGGAAGGATTTGGAGAATGGGGATTAACTCTGGCATGAAGTTGTAAATTATCAAGTATAATCCATCTGAAATGTTTGAGATGACCTTCTGCCAAATATTCTATTTCCTCAATAGAGCAACTGAACTATATGAACTGAAGACAAAAAAATTTTATTTCAGGTTAAAGTATTGGAGTTAAACTTGCTTGCAATGTATTAAATGAAAACATACACCATGGCATTTGGTCTTTTCCGGTTTAAAAATACATTGTTTAACAAAACAAATGTGGCCATCTATAGGCTCAAAATAAATAGCTCGTGCATCAGTTGCTCTGGAGACTATTTTCCTCTGCCATGCTATGCAGTATTGAGGACATCATCCACTGCAATCCCACAACAGATTACTAATGAAAAGGTAAATTTTTCTTTCTAGTTTAGAAGTGAAAGACAATGATCAAATAATTTAGATTTTCCACCTTGAGTTTATTGCTAGCTATTTGGAAATTTATTTCAAAGTTAATTAATAGTTAAAATTAGTTATTTTATACATTTGCATATATACCCTATTAAATAATGTTTCTTATACATTAATAATTAATGTCTTTTATATGGTTCTGTTATCAAATGTTATCAATTGTAGCTTTATATGTTTGATTAAAGAAAAGTATAAGTAATTGCTAATTTTTTGTCATTGACATTTCCCATTTTATTTGCTTTCAAGCTCAATTTTATAAACTTCATGTGCCTTATCTGTTGACCTTTAATACTATGATGGTTTTAAATTTGATTATATTCTGTAGGAAAACATATATTTGCTTTCAAATTACTCCAATAAGCCTCTCAATAGGGTTAGGTAAAATGCAGCTCACTCCAGACAATAGGAAGGAACATGCTCATTTCTGTGCCATATCTTCCATGAGCTGCATCTTGAAGACCTTATTAGAGATAATTAGGGCTTTTTTACTTGTAAATTACTAATTAACTAATTTTTCAGCACCATCAACACAGTTGCTCAACCTTGGAAGCTGTGATGACACAAGCACCAACTCTGGGACGGAAAAATCACAAGAATGATGCATTTGCTGTTTGTGTAAGTTTGTTTTAATGAAGTTGCCAATAATAAGTATAAAGCATTAGCTAACAATAATATGAGAATTATATTTAATCCAATAAACAGGGTTTAGACAAGATAAGGGAAACACCTGAGAAATGCACAAAATACTAAATTTAGTATGATGTAGGTCTAGCTTTTGTGGCAGGTACAGCCTCAGTTATCCTAGGTATTGATTCATACAAATTGTGAATTGTTTCAAGAGGAATCTTGACCCATTCTCCAGTTGAACCTCCCTTCAGCTCTCTTAAATACAATGGCAGTGGAATCAACTACTGACTTGCATTTGTAAAATTGATCATAAATGCTCAATAATATTAAAGTCTGGTGATAGTGGTGGCCAAATGAGATGCTCAACTCCATGAGAATTTTTCTCATGCAATTTTTTAACAATTTCAGCTGTATAGATTGGGGCATTATCAGCTTGAAATATGGCATTCCCTCTTGAAACAGTACTTGAACCACTGGATGAACTTGTTCCTCCAAAATTCCTATATAGTCACGGCTGTTCATTCATCTATGAAGAGAAATCATTGGTCCACCAGATTTCCAAGAAATCACCCCACAAAACTGTGAAACACCCCACATCATCACAGATCACCTACTGTGTTGTATGGTTGGTAGGAGGCAGTTGGGATTAAATGACTCTTTTGGCTGTCTGCAAACGTAAACTTAACCAGAGGTTGGAAATAGCGTAAACAATGATTTGTCAGAGGAAATTGCATTTTTCTATTGCTTACCAATTCTGGGGATTTACACCACTCTAGATGCTTTGAAGCATTTGTATTTGAAACCATAGGTTTTCCAATTGCAGCTCTTCCATAGAATACAGATCTGTGCAGCTCTTGGCGGACAATCTTTATGGAAGCTGGGTTTTGTAGTTGTCTATTGAGGTGTACAGTAATTTAAACAGCTGTGGTCTTTTGATTGTCCCTTACAATTTGATATAGGTACTGACGGTCTCTCTTAGACAACTTCAACTTTTAGTCTGACCTGTGCTTCGCTGAAGACGTTTTCTTTCTCTTTCAAAAGCTGACATTAATTTTAAGACAGTACCTCTAAAAATGTCAGGCATTCGGGTAGTTTCTGTCACACTAGCACCTGCAACACGTGCACCAACAATTTGGCCTTCTCGATAGTTAGAGAGGTTTGCCAGTTTATAGGTTAAAGGTTTGGTTATAGACAGGAAAATTTACTGAAAATATCTCTGCGAGGATAAAATATAAATTAGCAGCAACAATAAAACATAAAAATGTCACGTTTTCATTGTTTATAACACATTGAAAAATTATGATATCAAAACTTAGTACTACGTTTCAGTTCCTTATTTTGTCCAACCCATGTACCATATGTATCTCGTCTATTATTTACCTAAAATTATATTTGAGTCATGATATGTAATAAAATCTGTACAATGATATACAATGTCTATCGTCATTTTATAAGCCTGTAAAATTCTGAATGCCCTGAAATGGGAATTTTCCAAAGAATTGATTCTGGTATTTTCTATGCAGGTCAATCTCTCAGAAATATTGCACCAGGATCCACTTGCCATCCTGCTCAACTCAGGGCTACTGGTAAGCTGAGCAATTCCTGTCCTCAACTTGATTCTGTTTATCTATGTTGCATTTCTACCCAAGTATGGTATCATAGATACAAAACTCAACATCTCAATAATTTTATTCAGTCTGTCTATGATATGTAAGCATCCATCCAAGTGTTGTAGATAAAATCCTCAACGTCTCAGAATTTTTTTTAGTTCGTTGATGATATACTATTCTATCCAAGTATCATTATTGTTAGATATAGGCTTGCATTTGCAGTTTTACTTCCTTACTCATTGAACTTCAGCCATCAATTAATTTCACTAACATGAAAAAAGAGATTCAAACACATGGAAATTCAACTTTGATTTGATGAAATTCTTCTTTACCAAAATACAAACTGCTGAAAATAATTTAATTTTGTGTCTGCTTGGCCAAGTTTTCCATTGCCCTGTTTGGTATACTGCTTATGTAGTACCTATTGAATAGATCCCTGAACAACCAAGAACCCTGACTAAATAGGTTTGTAAAAGTGTGCTTATTATGTGTCCATTTCTATTTACCTTCTTATCATGTGAATTTAACTTAGAGCTTCTGGTATCTTGTTATATTTAAATTCTATTTTTTAGTGAGGCTCTGAAATTTTCGTACTTTTATTTTAAAAATGTCACTCACATATATATTGTATACATTTCTTAGATTGCTTATGAGTTGACCAAGCTTCCATAAATTTTTCACATTGTCTATATTTTGTTTCTTTCAGGCAAATAATGTCAAATGCAACTCATCAACCAAGGTCCATCATAAAGAGGAATCTAAGTATAACCAGAAGACAGCCGCAGATTTGAGGACCTCTTCCTGTGCATCACTCCCTTATAGTCTCCATTCTTATAACTTTCAATGCCTGGAGGATACATTTATTATGTCTCAAAACCCTGAATATCCTCATATTTTACAGCAAGGCAACTTGACAACACAATGGAACAAAAGCTATAAGGAAATAAGTATTATTTGCTCAGCTGACTCTGGAATGAAGCTGGCTGGCTCTTCATTACCAAGCCCCAACTCCCGCGATGACTGCATTCCTAATAAAAATGATGCCGGCACCAACCCTCTTGGCCTCCCCACGCCAGATAAACTCAAGCATGTCCATGATGTCCTTGTGTCTTCTGTGAGTCCCTGCTGATACTCTTTTTATATTTTTCATAGAAGTAAAATTAGAAATTTTTTAGTGCCTATGTGGAATGGATCTAATAAGCTATACATGTATGTTTATATTTTTGACTTTTTTGTGTAAGTTAAAATTTTATTTCAGGAATATAAAAGGAGCCACAATAATTTAATTTTATGATTCAAATATTCATGTTAGAATCATCTAATAATTATGTTATAATTATGTTATTATTATGTAATAATTATGTTATTAATTATTCCTCTTCTCTTGCAGCTGAAAAAGTTTTTTGCACAAACCCCTAATTATACCATCTTTGATAAGGATGTTATTTTTGAGAACCGCTTCAGAGGAACTGTAACCAAGTAAGTTCTTAGACTCCGGTAGTAATGCCAAAATCTGGTTCTATAGTTGCTTCAGTAATGCATTGATGTAATGTGTTACCAGTTATATTTTTGATATGACTAGCAAATTACTTGATTCATATTTACTGAAATTTTATGCTGCTCCATCAATGACAGCATTAATTCTAAAGGAATCTCACCTCATCCGCGGATCTTTAATGTTAATTTTTCTACTCAATAATCAAACTCATAAGCTCATTAGGCTTTTCAGAAGTTTTAATAGTTCAATGTTCACTATCCATATCATGCAGTAAAAACTAATGTCGGTATGTTATAGGTTCATGTTGATTGTACATGTGACTATTCTCCTGTACTTACATAATGATAATTTTCTGAAATGTTTATAGTATAAAAAACAGTTCTGTATTGGTTGAAAAGCTAATCTGTGAAATGAAATTGATTTGTTCTCACGATAACTAATAGCAATAATTTTTGTCAATATTTTATACTGTGAATTATATTTTTCAGAGGATTGTTCTTGTATGTGACACAAATGTACATACTGAACACCATTGGCCACATGAAGCACGCCTACGTTCATATGGACATCATCAAGACTACCATACATCCGGAGGATGGCACTGTCAAAGTTCGCTGGCGGATCAAGGGTATTAAGTCTCGACAAGCTTTTATCGGATTTTGGAAGGTATATATATATATATATAATACTACTTATGAACTGTAAATTACTGAATGGTCACAAAAGTATGTAGGGAGTGAATGTTTGAACCGTTTCTGCTGAAGCAACTAGTTCAAATAGCATTGCTGCCTTGTAAAATAACACCCGCCAGTGTCATTTTATATCAAAGTGTCATTACTCATTAATATCAATTGAACAAATATTCCTTCATCATTTCTAATTGAGAATTCATGCCTGGTAAGAATTAAACCCATGCACCCCATGTATATACAATTATACCCACAATATTGTGCCAGCGAGTTCTATTTATTACCGAGTTCTTAGAATAAAAACAATAGGCAGATCTCGCATATTGTAGTAATTTTCCACATTGTTAAACTGAGCATTGATATTTGACGGTTGCAGTTTGATTTTACTGAGGATGAGCATTTACATTAACATTCAATTTAATTTGATTCTCATAATTGTTCATTTGAAGTTTGTACTAGAAATATTTGAAGCGCAAAATGCTGTTGTAATATGAGTGCTTGGGTTATACATTCTGTTGGTCATTGAACTATTGAATAATGTTTAATGGGTGGCATGTTTGCATTATATTTCATACAATTTCATTCGTTTTAAAAATATTTTATGTCAATTGAGGTCGACTTTGCATATTGTAATGAAGCAGTAATTCTTTTTTAAGAGCTTTTTTCTTTAATAAAACTACCTGCCGTGTTGGTTTTGATAATATTCGCAGACTGTGTAACGCCTGTTGTAGTTAGTCCTTTTTTTAATGTAATGTATTGGGCTAAGCAATCTCTTTTGTATCAGGCTCGTAAGTGGAGCATATCTGACGTAAAGCAAGACGACATGTTTAACTGGTACGACGGCTTCTCGACGTTCCACGTGAACAGTGAAGGTCTCATTTACCGCCACGTCGCCGACAACATGATGCCTGATGAGGAGAAGCTGAGCAGCAGGCCGGGCACCATAGCCAAGCTAGCCGTGGCAATAGGGCTCTGGCCCAGGCCTGTTGCTGGCCATAGCAGCGTCATACAAGAGATGCCCTCACTCTTTTAGACGATTTGAATGCAAATATGAATTTTCTAACTATACCCTTGCTGATTTTGTTGAACTATAGACAGTGGTTTTTCTGGGAACGCTACTTTGATTCCTTGTGGTTAATTCACTTCCCTTCTATTAAGATAGTTTCATGCGGTCATGTCTTCGAAACAGAAATACGGAAGAAACGCTTGATCTTGCTCTCTTTAGGTGATGATTCAATTAGTGAAGATTTTTATTTGCAGAACCTGTCTTAGCTTAGAATCTCAACCACTCTTCTGAATGCAACTATTTACATTATGGCTGCTGCTTGCTCCCCATTTATTCCAAACTACCATAGTTTATATGCATATAGAGCTACTTATGTATAGAGTATACAGAGCTACTTAATAATATCGCAGATAGCATTGAGACCAAGCAAATCCCTACTCTCGTAAATGAAAGACCTCTCCAAGCTACGCATGGCACGCAATTCATCAGGCATTCACATCAATTCAGCGTGAGTTTGAGCACAGTCAGGTTGAGGTAAACGTACATTTGTAGCAGAAAGAAAGTTCTACCTCGTGATGTTGGTTCATCGTCTGGTAAAAATTGGCCTTTGCAAGCATATCATATCTTATCTTTTTTATCCTCTCCTAAAGTCTGGAGCAAACATTTTGTTATGAGATTGTGTTTAATTCTGTAATATTACTCACTTTGATGTTTCTACTTGACAGTCCATTTTGGACTAGGTTAGATGATGGCCTTTATTGAAAATTTCTGTACATATTTTCTTTACTGTCTGAATTTCTTTATAAAATGTCCAGTATGAGATTTCTGCTACGAACCACTTCCCTAGAAGAGCTAGTATTTTTTATTCAAGTTATCATTGCAATTTATTCTAATCGTGTACGACATTGTGTTGATAATCATCACCGAAGACGAACAGCAACTAAAACTGTCAACAAAATTTAGGATTTTCTAAAAATAAATCTATTGAATCATGTGAAGCAAACGGCCTGAGTGTGGTGAAGAAGTCTTCTCACCGTAGCAGCATTTGACTTCAAAACCTCGTTTCATCCCATACAATTAACTAATCATGTAAGTTGAAACATTCGACGCACATCAGCGGCATGAAGATAGCACCTGCCCCGGATCATTTTTATTTCCGCTACGAACTGCTTACATCATGGTTTTTCTCTAACCCCAAGGAACTGCCCTCAGGCGCATTATGTGGACGATATTATAGAAATAAATACTCTGTTGCAGGCTGGTGCCGTCACTGAAAAACCGAAATGATCTCTCCTGTGTAGCGTGACTTTCGATCTCTAAGAGATATCACGGAATCGCTCGCCGGACTTCGAAACCATATTGTACAGAAAAAATGAATATATCAAACCAGATGCGTTTTCCTTGACATTCTAATACATACGTCACTACCTAGCGACATAAATACTGCAGTCCATCCACAAATTCTGAATTAGCTAAGATTTAGGCTTGCACAACTAGGAATTTTCCCGCGATCAATCGTTTAAAGTGAGAAGATGACAGCGTTGCTCTCACCCCGGCAGGCACAACAGCAGGGAATGTCACAGGGCAGCGTGATGAACTGCACTCTCTTTCTGATAGTAATAAACACATCACCGCCAGCCTACGCCTCCCCCACCCGAGCGCGCTATCCCCGAGATACGTGAATGCCTTCATGATCTATGCATCTTCTTTACCTGTCGGTCATTCTCGTGCAGAAAACAGGCAGCCATTAATTGCCCCTACATGTGCACAAAATTTCCTGATACGTACATCATCGGTATAATGAGACTGAGATACTCCTCGGAGCCCCTTCATGTTTTTGTTTTCTAGTTTTGGCTAGCTTCACCGCGCAGCCCCTTCATATTTTTGTGTTCTGGCTTTTAACTCCTCTGAGATGACTTCACAATTTTTATCTACCCCATAAATGTAGTATAGGTCCTAAGAATTTCCAATACTAAATACCCTATCAATCGAGTAAATAATCTCCGGATGCATGCGACGACTGACATGACAAGAGTCTTTTGGGGTGCAGGTAAATACCAGCGCGGCGGTAGGCGCTGCTCCGTCGACGATATATTGTAAAAACGAAGGCTAAAAGTATAAGAAAATAAACTGAGATGCACTGGAGAAAGTGTAGAAGATTGTACCTCTGGGGAGAAATGCCTGTCTAAGCACTAGAACTGATACTACTAATTGTTATCACCGGTGTCGCAGTTCATTTACATTGCAAATCGGTAGTCTAACAGTATTGTAGGTAAATTTACAGTTGATTTATTTTATTCAACTATGCGGTCGTTTGTGCGTTTTCCCGAAAATTTAACAGAAGAGTATAGTTCATTCAGACGTATCAATGAACTTGACTATACGAAAACTGGAGCGAAATTTCGGATCCAAACATACGACGTATAGTATAGTATCTTCGGCATTAAAGAATAGGCCTGTCGCCGATACTTGTACTTTTCTTGACCAGACTGGCCTTTTGATCAGATCTTTTCAACGGACGATAGATTTAAAATCGCTTCTAGATATCAGTTGTTCCGTAGGGGTACGAGGCATTTTAAGACTAAACATTTGCTCCTGCATGGCCTTGTCTAATCAATAATAATTAATAATGAACGTAATTTTTTTGTTATGCTTATGATCAATGTCAACAATAATCTTTGGATACCTGTCTAGATTAATTAAATATATCTATTAGTAATTAAAATGCGGAGTAAATTTAGGTTGTAAAAGTGACACTGTATTACACACAGTGGAAAGATTTCTTATTTAAAGATTGCGTAAAAGTGGAATGATTGCTTATTTATTACGCCTAAGACTGCATTACATTTACTTATTCGGAGTTATTCCCTTTCCTTACTTATAAATCGACAATTCCATGTCGCACGTTACAAGTCTCAACGATAATCGTTTTTTTTTGGTGACGTAAATCAGTCGGAGCATGATTGAACTAATTAATTCGTCCATGATTAATTAATTCAACCATTAGTCGGAGTGGGGCAGCGATTGCTGTTCTCGGATGTTCGAATCCACAACGCAATTAATTATGACAGGCTTGCATCACTTAAAGTCTTCATATTAACAAACAATTATAGGAAGAACTGCGGTTACATCTGGCTCTTTTCTACATTCTTTTTGGCACTTATATATATAAATGTTTCATCCACCTATCTGTGCTATACGCAAAGACGCTCACATAGCCTTTACAAATATGTTCCACAGCGTCAATATGTTCCATTTGATTTTTAATATTATTAAATATGAACTTGTTCAATTTACCTAGGGCTCATGACAAACCTTAGACTGATAAAAGAGATTTTCTTGCAGTTAATGATAAAATCGATGCTCAAATGTTTTTATTCGAACGTCGCGCTCTCGTTACGGCCATACTTTTTGCGCATGCGCAGTTCAGTCGATCGGAGAAGCTGGAGCTGTTAAGATGGCGACTAGTCAGTCATGATTTAGCCGTTGTCTGGTGATGAGTGCCGTGTCATTGTGCCGATGTTTTCGTGTGAGAAACTCTGCTCAAATGACGCTAATTAGAACATTGTTGTATTGAGAGAAATTTCGTTGCTAAATTGAGCTGGACCATAGGGGACACATCTTTATAGCATACAGAGACAAGCAATTTTCTCATTTCTCCCATTATGCAAGTGACAATTTTAATTCTTCGTTAATTATAGCCTTGTTTACGCACTTTTTACTATAGGTATTTTATTAAAATTTACGTACTTTCTTGATTAATTTTTTACAAATGAAGTAACGGTGGAAGAGTGAATTTATGCAAAGTCAAATGGGACACAAAATCTGGTAGCTTGTTTAACCCATTAGCCTAATGCCGAGATTTATTTCCTAAATTTTTATTTCTGTTTCCTGTGAAAATATCACTTGTGAATTGTGACAGTAATAAATGAAAAATATGTTGAAATATTTATTTATGTTGTATCGTATGTGAAAAACTGAAAATTATAGCTTGGTCCCATAATAATAATAATCCCATTACAACCGGACTAAATATTTCATAATGTAAATGTCTTGAGAAACCTCAATAACCTCATTTACTCAAGATTTAAACCAATTTCTTATGTATGATGAGTCAGGTATCCATGATACTTTACTGGTCTACTTATACCTAGGACTCAAAAATGAACTTGAGGGAGAGTCTAAAAAAACTCTCTGCTTTGCCACTATGGCTGGCAAACCAAAGCTTTTTTAGAATCAGTTCATTTTTAACTTCCTCTGCCTCATTTACCCAAAATTTAAATCAATTCCTTATGTATGATACTGCTGGTATC